CTGAGCTGTGAAGCCAGCTGCTTCCACTGGTGGGTCCTTTTTGCTGTCACCAGCCACACTGCCACAGCTAACATCTTTGACAGACACGTTCTTGACATTGAACCTACCTTGTCTCCAGGAAGAGCTTCACTCAAAGCTTCATGGTGCATTTCAACAGACTTTATTTCAGTTGTAACATTGACTAGAGCAAAGGTGACCACCATGCGGGCTTTCAGAACACCAGTCTCCTCTGGGCCCACAGGGACAGCACCATTTTGTAGATGTCCTGGAGGGGCAGACACAGGGGCTTGTCATTTGGATGAGTTGGTGGCAGGATGCAATCCACAGCTTCAAGCAGTGCGGTTCCACTGGCATTGCATCTTCACCAGTGACTTTTCCTCCCTTGAACCAAGACATGTTAGCGCCTGGCTCCAGGATATTGTCACCATCCCAACCAGAAAACTGCACAAATGCTACTGTAGACAATTTTCTTAATGGAGGTGCTGACTTTCAAGTAACTTCCTCATCTCTCTTCTGGCTGCTGGACGACTCAGTGGAATACATTTTGTTAGAGCAACAATCATTTGTTTCATACCCACCTAGTGTGTAAGCCAGAAGGGCATGCTCATGGATCTGCCCATTCCTGGAGATACCCGCTTTGAATTCACCAGCACCAGCAGCAACAATCAGGACAGCACAGTCAGCCTGAGATGTGCCTGTAATCCTGTTTTTTATACCTTATCTGTGTCCTGAGGCATCAAGGGTGGTCACATAATACTTGCTGGTCTTGAATTTCCACAGGGAAAAAACAATGACAATACCATGCTCGCGTTCAGCTTTCAGTTTATCTGAGACCCAAGCATACTTTTAGGAGCCTTCCTTATCTCAGCAGCCTCCTTCTCAAAATTTTCATTGTTTTTTTTTTTTTTTTGTCAATCGCACATTTGTAGATCTGTTGGCCAGTAGTGGTAGATTTGCTAAAATCTACATGTCCAATGACAATGATGTTGATATACTAGTAAGTCTTTTCCTTTCCCATTTTGGCTTTGCTATAGTAGTGGTTGTTACAACACCTGTGTTCTGGTGGCAAACCTGTTGTGAAAAGCTTGGGTCATCTTGCTACATAGGCATTTGACCAACAGGAACTGGGTATTGCTCTCTTCAAAAACCATTCAGATAATGACAACATTATTATGATCAAGAAACAATGAGATCTCAAACAGGGGAAAACTTGTAATTTTATTTCTCTCCTCATCATCAGAATATTTTTTAAAACTTATAACTTTATAAACACCTAAGATCTTCTTTTGATTTTCTACAGGAGAAAGCTGCCCCCAAGTTCTTGCTCTGATGCTAGATAATTTAGTTCCTCCATGTATGTCCCTGAATCTTTTCAAGCTGCTTCCCCAGTGCTGGACTTCAGAGGGAGTGAGTGCTAGTAAATAGGTCTATGGGGCCCTTTAAGAGGAACTGCCTGGGTCTCTGGCTGCCTCCATTTCACTCAGCCACAATCTCCACTGGTTTTTATGGCCCCAAGTTATAGGGGCTTCTCTTCCTGGCACTGGAGCCTTGGGCTGAGGCATCTGGTGTGGGGTTGGGACCCCTTGCTCCTCAAGGCAGGAACTCCATGGCCCATATATCACTCCCCATTAAAAAAAATGCCACACATGGGTGTTGGACCAGCCCATTCCAGGCCTCCACCCCTCTTACCCATCTCAATGTGTCTTCCTCTTTAATTCTCTAGTTGTAGGGCTTTTCTTCAGCTATATTTCAGGTGGTTCTGAATTATGGTTATTCTGTGGTTTAGTTGTAACTTTGATGTGGTTCTGAGAGGATGTGAGTACCGTGTTTATCTATACCACTATCTTGGCCCCTCCTCTGGACATATTTTTTTATTGCTTGTCATGCAGCAGCTAGACATGGCATTCCCTAGATCTCCATTTGTGTTTCAGTGATCCTAGATCCAAAGAAAGCTATTTAAGTCCCTTACTTTGTTGTGTTCTTTTAAATTTTTATTTAATTTAGACTTTTAATATTTGCAAGTGGGATAAAAAAAGAGTTTGGCTCCTCAGAACTAATTGTATCTGCAAAGACCTCTGAGGAGGTAGCATTATATAAAGGGAAAGGGAATCCAGAAGAGCAGGGCACCTTACAACAGCTGATGCTCCATTCACAGACTTCCCCTGTTTTTTTTTTTTAGTCTGGGAAACTCAAATTAGCCTTGAATTAATGCTTAAGAGTTGCCATTTGAAAGTGTGGTTAAATAAAGCTTGGACTAGCAGGCATACCAAATGTGAGTTTGCCCAACTGCTAGGGCACATGGAAAATTTCAAGAAGACAAACACTTTTATTAAGAATTTCATCAAACAAGGTTTTTTCAGGTATGGTTTCAAAAATGATTATTTATGATTTCTATCAAGCAATTATTCCATGAAGTGCTTTTTCTACTACAGGCGTTTTAAAAATTGTAATAGAAAATGATTGATTTTTAAAATATGTCTGATGTAACATTTTAGAAGATTTATTTAATATCCTTAACCAACTTGAGAGGAGATACAAAATGAAAGAACTGTAATAGTTAATACTCAATAACAAGTATTTTAAAAATTAAAATGATATTCAAGAGCAATATTAAGAAGCAGAAGTCTTAATTTATCTCACTGACAGTTTTCACAGTTCAGTGCTTCATGGGGTTAAGTACCTTCATATAGGTCACCAAGACAACCTAGTCATCTATTTGCAACAGAATTTAAAAAATAGAAAACATAAGTAGAAAAATCATCTACTTTGATAGCTATAGACCCCAAAGATGAAAAAAAGGAAATAACTTGAAAGAGAAGATAAAAATGAAAAAATTGGGGTGGGAAAGGTGTCAGGTGATGACAATAAGAATATATGATGAAGAGTGAGCTAGAGGTGGAGGTGAGGAGGGGGAGAGAGGAGGGCAGTCCTGGGTTCTTCAGACTATGAAGTGTTGAGCACTGCACACAACCCTGCTGGGGCGTGTTCTGGGCTCTGGGGAAGATAAAGGTCAGCATTATGATAGGAACCCTGTGAACACTATTAAAGTAAGTACTCCTCTCCCTCTCTATTTCATGTAACACCCCCTCATGTCAGCAAACTAATTAGAAATTCATATTTTGTGTTCTAAAACATGCGCATTTTTCTTTTTGTAGGAAGATTTTATTATACCAAATGGTACATTTCATTTTATTTGCCTCAGTTTCTGCTGGTAAGTAGAGATTTATCTTAAGTATGAACTGGAAATAGCTTGTCTCCTGAATTTGATTACAAAACAAGAGGGCATAAGCCCAGAGACAGAAATCACACCACAGTCCCATACATGTTGGAAAATCTCACACCATCCACTCCAGGGAAGGGAGGAAATAAAATCATTTTATTTATTTTCCTCTTAAGGTTCCAGGGGTTTTCAAAGCAGGAAGGAAAGTGAGATGACAGAGTTTATAGTCATGGGAAATTATGTCTATATGTATATTTCTAACTATATTTATTTCTATACCTATATTCATATGTAAATTCACATCACACATTTAAATTATATTTAAGAAGAATATTAAAAATATAACCAGATGTCTGGATTTGCCTCATTGATTAGTCAGTTTGCCATAAAGCAGTCAGTTTAATGCAAGACATACATACATGCAATTTTGGACTGAAAAATATTATGCAAATATTTACACAATTAGACTTTATACATTTCAATAATTTACTGCTGTTAATTCTCCACTTCACATAATGTCCACTACATTTGTTTACAAATTACTTAACCAATATTCAGAAGGATGTATCAATACAAGTAATTTTGGCCCCTATGTTTATTCGCTATTTAAGATGAAAACTTAAGCATTTATTTTTCTTAAATGTTTCCCTTTATTTATTATTATTGTTGCTGCTGTTGTTGTTAATTCTCACCCGAGGATGTTTTTCCATTGATTTTTAGGAAGAGTGGAAGAGAGAGGGAAAGACAGGGAGAGAAACATCAGTGTAAGAGAAACACATGGATTGGTTGCCTCCTGCAGGAGCCCTCACCAGGGCCCAGGCCAGGGAGGAGCTTGCAACCGAGGTATGTGCCCTTGACTGGAATTGAACCCGGGACCCTTTGGTCCGCAGGCCTATGCTTTATCTGCTGAGCCAAACTGGCTAGAGCAAGCATTTATTTTTAAAGTCACATATATTACAGTTAATTTCTATCACTGTTGCTAGCATTTTATGCAGAATAAACATTTTTGGCATATGTGAAAAACAGCAATCTAGGTAAAAAGATTTAAAATAAAATAAATTCTATTACAGTTAATAATTTAATTTTTCATTGTGACAAGATTCTTCTCAGGTTGTTATGTTTCTTCATTGTAAAATAATAGTGTTATTTCATTGATAAACAATCAGTGATAACTAAATGGACATACTTTGAACAATGGACCCGACAATGCATTCTTTACATATGCATATGGAACACTCACAAAATGTGACCACATACAAGGCTCCAAGGCAAGTCTCAACAAATTTTAAAGAATTAAAATTATGCAGAATTTGTCATCCAGTCACAGTGGAATTGAGCTAAAAAATAAAAGAGAACTGGAAAATCTCCAAATGTTTAAAAATTAAGTAATACCCTTTTAAATAAATATGGGTCAAAGAAGACATTCAATGGAAATTAGAAAATAGCTCTAGCCGGGTTGGCTCAGTGGATAGAGTATCAGCCTTCAGACCAAAGGGTCTCAGGTTCAATTCTGATCAAGGGCACATAACTTGGTTGCAGGCTCCTCCCCTGCCTGGGCCCTGGTCAGGGCTCATGCAGGAGGCAATCAAGCGATGTGTTTCTCTCACATCGATGTTTCCCTCTCTCTTCCACTTTTCATAAAAATCAATGGAAAAATATCATTGGGTGAGGATTAACAAAAAATAAAATAAAAATGTATATTTAATTGAATAATAATGAACATATGGCATATCAAAGCTTTGGGATGTAGCTGAATCAGTACTGAGATCATGGGTGTAGACCTACAGGCATTCATTAGAATAAGGAAAAAGGTAAAAATTAATGATATAAGAATCCAGTTCAAGAAGGTAGAACAAGATTAGTAAATTAAACACAAAGAAAGTAGGAAGAAGAAAAAATAAAGAAAATGGCAGGGAGTAATTAAATGTAAATCATATTTACTAGAGAAGATCAACATAGTCATACTCTCCAACCCATTTTATAAGGTGAGTGTACCCTTAATACTAAAACCTGACAGGAACATTATGACTAGGCCATGGAATGCTAGTGATCCTGCGGGAGCCTTTGTTTCAAATAAACATGGAGTTTTGACAGAGAAGCAAGGAACAAAGGGAAAAGCAGGAGGCCCTTTTAGACTTGGATGGGATCCTAAAGAGCATCTTTTGTTAATAAATATCTGAAAAGTGATTCAAGTCCCCACAAAGCACCCATGTCTCTGAGACTGTCGCTCATAAACACAAATCCATGGAGGCAAATGTGTTATATTGTCGTTTTCTTTTCTATCTGAGGCTGCTCATCCAAGAAACTAACATAGAGGTGTTGATTTTCCTGATTTCCAAGTTCAGTTAAGTCAGTCTCCTTTGCTTGCCTCTGTAGATGATTGCCTAATTAGACATGTGCCTAAAATACCAAATAACACCTGCCATGATTGCATCACTGAATGCGTGGCTGAGCTGTTCAAAGACCTGCTTTCAAGGAGGTGACATTACTACTGTTTACACCAAGCGCCGAGCACTGCCAAGTCATCTTTGACCCAAGGTGTTTGCTTTTCACATTTATGGCTGAGTCATCAGCTAAAGTTCCTACCAGATGGTAGGTGCTTGCATTTCTACATAGAGAAACTAGATTTTACAGAATTACCTGCTCATAAAACTCCATCTGCCATTTAATGAAATGTAATGTTAATTAAAGATATATTTCCTTCAAGTGAAATATTAAATATGACATAAAAATATGGTGTTCAGGCCCTAGCCAGTTTGGCTCAGTGGATAGAGCATCGGCCTATGCACCAAAGGGTCCCAGGTTTGATTCTGGTCAAGGGCATGCACCTCGGTTGCAGGCTCCTCCCTGGCCCGGGTTCTGGTCAGGGCACTTGCAGGAGGCAACCATTGGATGTGTTTCTCTCACATTAATATTTCTCTCTGTCTTTCCCTCTCTCTTCCACTCTTTCTAAAAATCAATGGAAAAATATCCTCGGGTGAGGATTAACAAATAATAATAATATGGTGTTTCGGCAGATCAGGGAGGAATAGACATACCTCTCAGGATGAACTGTCCAACCTCCCTTGTGTCCTCAATATTAATGGCACACTTTCTTATTTCTCTTTACCCTTATGCCTGTTAATCATTTTGTCCTTTGTTTTTCTATTGGTTATTGATATTATTTAAAGTGACATTTTTCCTAGTAATTTTATTAGAAAAAAATTAAATTTTGTAAAGATGATGAAAGAGTATAATGATCCCCTGTCACCACCAATACTTTTTGACATTGTGTCTTATTTATCTGTGTTGAACATGTTTAGCAATGTGAAATAGTTTGAAAACATAATGCTTCACCCTCAACTATTTCAACATACATCATTCTACACAAAATACATAAAAAATTTAAAAAGATCCTTTTATATCATCTGAATTGTCCCCCAAAGGTAATGTATAGCTATTAATCAAAATCTTATCAAGATTCACAAATTGTATTTGGTAGTTTTGTCTCCATAGTCACATTTTTTAAAATTTTAGAACATTCTACCCAACTGGAAAATTTTGTTGTTGTTAATCTTCACCCGAGGGTATTTTTTCCATTGTTTTTTAGAGAGAGTAGACGGGAGGAAGATAGACACAGAGAGAGAAACATCAATATGAGAGAGACACATGGACTGGTTGCCTCCCACATGTGCCCCAACCAGTCTGGGGATCGAGCTTGCAACCAATGTATGTGCCCTTGACAGGAATCAAGCCCGAGACCTTTCTGTCTGCAGGCTGACACTCTGACCACTGGGCCAAACTGGTGAGGGGAACTTGAAAATCCTATATCAGTGATGGCGAACCTATGACACGCGTGTCAGAGGTGACACGCGAACTCATTTTTTTGGTTGATTTTTCTTTGTTAAATGGCATTTAAATATATAAAATAAATATCAAAAATATAAATCTTTGTTTTACTATGGTTGCAAATATCAAAAAATTTCTATATGTGACACGGCACCAGAGTTAAGTTAGGGTTTTTCAAAATGCTGACACGCCGAGCTACACGCCAAGCTCAAAAGGTTCGCTATCACTGTCGTATATAATAAAGAGGTAATGTGCAAATTGACCGTCACACCCTCGCACAAGGTGGCCACCCCCATGTGGTCACAAGAAGGCCGCCACAAGATGGCCGGCAGGGGAGGACAGTTGTGGGCAATCAGGCCTGCAGGGGAGAGCAGTTGGGGGCGACCAGGCCTGCAGGGGAGGGCAGTTGGGGGCGACCAGGCCTGCAGGGGAAGGCAGTTGTGGGCGATAAGGCCAGCAGGGGAGGGCAGTTGTGGGTGACCAGGCCTGCAGGGGAGGGCAGTTGGGGGGGACCAGGCCTGGAGGGGAGGGCAGTTGGGGGCAACCAGGCCTGCAGGGGAGGGCAGTTGGGGGTGACCAGGCCTATACGGGAGGGAAGTTGGGGGAAACTGGGCTGGCAGGGAAGGGCAGTTGTGGGCAACCAGGCATGCAGGGGAGGGCAGTTAAGGGTGACCAGACTGGCAGGGGAGAGCAGTTGGGGGAGATCGGGTCCACAGGGGAGCAGTTAGGCATTGATCAGGCTGGCAGGGGAATGGTTAGGGGGTGATCAGACTGGCAGGCAGAAGCAGTTAGGGGTAATCAGGCAGGCAGGCAGGCGAGCGGTTGGGAGCCAGCAGTCCCGGATGGTGAGAGGGTGCAGGCTGTGATCGGGCCTAAACCAGCAGTTGGACATCCCCCAAGGCATCCCAGATTGGAGAGGGTGCATGCTGGGCTGAGGCACACCCCCGTCCAGTGCACGAATTTCATGCACCAGGCCTCTAGTTTAATAATAAAGCTTTAATGCCAAATTAAGTGATAAACATTTTTGTGTGTTATTGTTAAATTCCCAGATAATTCCATAGCACCCTGAAGATACAAAATTTACTGTTCTGGACTCTGTGACAAGAGTGGGCAATCTTTTTCTCGACAAGGCAGAGAATAAATATTTTAGGTTTTTTAGGTCTGGAGACAAAATCATGGATATTTTATAAGTATCTAATCTAATAAAAGTCAAGCATGCAAATTGACCGTACCTTTGCTACACCTTAAGCCACGCCCACCAGCCAATCAGAGTGACTATATGAAAATGAACCCAACCAAGATAGCGGCCGGCAGCCACAGAGCTGGATCAAGCAGGAGGCTTGGTTGCTCCAGTGATGGAGGAAGCCAAGCTTCCCGCCTGCCGTGGCAGGCTCTGAGCTCCACTCAAGGCAACAAAGTATCAATTATAGAAGATAAATAAACCCCAGAAAAAAGAAAAAAGAAAACAAGGAGAGGCTGGGAGCTTCCATCACCGGGTGGCTTGGCCAGCCTGAAAACGGCCCTCAGCCCCTCACCCAGACTGGCCAGGCACCCCAGTGGGAACCCCCCACCCTAAAGGGGGTGTGGCCAGCCTGAAAACAGCCATCAGCCCCTCACCCAGGCTGGC